AACATCAACAAGGCCAGACACCTGAACGCTGTGAAACTGGTTTATTAACCATTATTAACCTGTTAAGGGAACAGGTGAAACCAATATATGAAGGATGAGTTTTCCCCTGCCTAAAGTTTCAAACCATTTCTTAATTCAGTGATGTGGGGAAGGGTGCAGAACCTCAATCTATTGTTTTACACTTTTTTTAGTGGTAGAGGCAGAGGATGGTGAGGCAACTCCAGTAAAAACACGGGCTCTGAGGTCTAATGCCCGTGATCTCTACACATCCAAGCAAGCCCCACACCTCCTTCCAGTACAATGCATTATTTGCAAACATGAGAAGTACAAGGTTCAGAAACACACCAGGAAAAGGGTAAAAGAAAAACTAACACAGTGTGAAACACTCCATGCCGGGAAATTGCTTCTCGCCGCTGAAGGGAGAAGGGATGAGTCTCTCCTTCTCCATATCCACGGCAGGGACTTGGTGGCTAGTGAAGCACGGTATCACTTCACCTGCTATCGAGATTATACCCGGTACCTGACCACACAAAAAAATGAGAGAACAGAAACAAACATTGTAATTATCCGGGGACATACAGTGGAGCTGTAGCCTATGTGAGTTGGACGAAGTGTTACCGTTAGAATTAAGTACTTAAAACTTTACACCAAATCAAATATGTAATCGCATGATGCTAGCTACTGCTAGTTAGCCAGCTGAAACTACCCTACTTAAAAAGACACTAACGAGACGCTTACATCCATTTTAATTCCAAAATCTAAACCAAGCTAATCTCATGCATACGATCGCAAGAGATCGTATGCAGGAGATTAGCTTGGTTTAGATTTTGGAATTAAAATGAAGGATGCATTAATCTACTAGTAATGTTGTAGTTTTGGTTCAGAGCTGTGACCTAACGTTAGACATGCTAGCTACTATGTCAGTTAGCCAGCTGAAACTACCCTACTTAAAACGACACTAACGAGACGCTTACATACGTTTGAACAACACAGTGTACAAAACAAACATTTGTCATAGATATCATATTCTAATTAAATGAATACTTACAATCACAAAAACAATGTCCTTGGCGATTGTCACTGTGCTGCCGCCGCAGATGCTGTTCGTGTCTGACAGCTGAATCATCCGCGTAACAACTGTTCTAAATAAGCTACATCTGATTGGTTAATAATAATCCTATGTCAGTATCTTGCCACGCTATTGGCTCGACTGATATAGTAGGCAACCGCGTTTGCCTGCATATTTACGGTCGTGCATTATGATTTCGGGGGAAAATGTGCAACAAATGGGAGTGGCAACACTTTTCATATCGTTGAGGATAAAACAACCGTCCCAACTTTACAAATTCAGGTTCTCCCTCCATGGGGATCATTCATTTCGAAAAGTAAAGCAGATACGGGGCCTCGGCCCACCGTCTATGGTAACCAAAGGCCTTCTATACTGTAAAAAAGAGTTGCTGCCTTAAATATTTAAGTACAACCAACTTGGATGTTTAAGTCATTTCTACTTAAACTATATTAAACTGACTTAAAAATGAGTTGAATCTTGTATAACATAAAAAAGTTGAAAATTGATTGAATTATTTTGATGAGTTAAAGCAATGTAAAAACATATGTTGTCATAACTTATTGATCATATAATTGTTTACAGGCTTTCAGGTTTCGAAATGTCATACTTACATAAAAAAGCTGAATTAAATGTAGTTTGTACAGAAGAAACTTTTTTTTTTAAATAAGATTTCATTTGATCAATAGATTAGTGCTTAACAGATGTGAAGAGGTTATCTGAAGTAACTTCTATTAGTATATTACTTATTTAGCATACCATGCTAACAATCTCATTTTCTAGAAGAGAAAGTAAATTGGGCAACACAGAAAAAAACATAGGCATAACTCATTTTCATTAACTGCTCATCCAATAATTAGTGTGCAGATCACAACTTGACAGGTTCAGTCTGTGCGTAAGTGGTGAATAATTTAAGTAACACTTTTTGCAGGTTACAAAGTTACGCCAGTAGGTAACTTGGCGAAGATTGCAGATTGCCTTGTGTATTGAGCGAGTCATTGAATCACTCAAACAGACGATTCCTTAAAAAATGACTCATGATGAGTGAATTAGGCTACAACAAACGCGATCGGTTTCTCGGGGACTCGACGGTTGATTAAGCTTCGCTCGGAAGTTTGGGACGTTGGCGCAGCAAAATAGAAGAAAAACAACGGACAACATTGTGTCTAAAATGTAAGTTGCTCTATATTAACTTTTTATTTATTGAACAGTTGTTGAAACATGATATGTTGGACATGGAATAGCCTTTTTGCTTCTTTAATGCACATTTATTTCATCTTTCTCTCTTGGGATTTGGTAAACAAACTACAAATTGTCAATTTTTAGGGATAACTGGTTAATTTTCCAGATAGTTTGTAAAATTAAGCGCCTGGCGGTGCCCTTCGCTGAAGCACCCGTTTAAAAGGCCCTTCTTGAAGAGATTCAGTCCTCTCACTAAAACCTTCTCGTAGCTTGCTTTTCCGCTAAAAATGCTATTTGAAATTCACCTAGAGCAGCTTCCAGCTCTTTTTTTTAACCAGTGCGTTTCCATAACTGTTGCATGATATTTCCTGTTGTTTGTTTTTTAGGCTATTTCTCAATTTCTCAATATCTATCCATTGAAATATTTTAGAGCAAAGCAAACTTTAAAGAAAAAAAAAGGATTTTATTAATTTCCTTGACTTATCTATTACTTATCTATATCTGTAAATCTATTTTTTAAACTGTCCAGGTGATGAGGCAGTATAGATATGAACGTTTTTTTTTTTAAGTATTCATGTTTTATCTAGTTTAATTAACACAGAGATAAAACACAAAAGTGTCCTGATCTGCTGAGATTGATGTCGCACAGGTTTAGATATAAAGCTCTGATTTAAAATTCACCAGACCTACAATTCCAAGTGCAAATCCACTTTGATCCAAGTAAATCTGTTATAGGTCTAATTATATATTAGGGTTTTTTCCTGATATTGTCATATCAAAATAGCATTGCTGTATCAGATTATAACATCATGACAGAGCATGGGTATTAAAAACAAACTTCAGAACTTCAGATAATTGTGGGAATTCCATTGCGTTTAAAGGTTGGGTAGGCAATTTCAGAGAGGCTAGTCATAGCAAGCTAGCTTTGTAAGCATAAGATCCCACCCTCCCTTCAGAGCGTCTCCAAAGCCACGCCTCCTTCAAAACACATTTCACAGCAGAGCAGAGTCTGCAAAGCGTCACAAGAGACGGTGTTAAATTACCTCGTGTCTCAAAGCACATAACATTACAATAATAATGAATGTAAACAACTTACAGAGCTTGGACTTACAGAGCTCAGTTTCATTTCGGCGTTGATAGCGTTCCTAGAACATCACGGGTTGCCATCTTGTTATTACTGTTATGGCGTGAACGCAGCATAAGCTCATTGTTTTGGTTCACACTGTGTCTGTCTACAACTCTGCATAGCCTTACGGAACAATCTGATGATGTCTGCAGGAGCAGGTGCGCGGAGGTATGGAAATACATACATTGACAGGCAGGTCAGACATCCTAACATTTTTTAGTCTGAGACTTCCACAGAAGATATATGTAATTTTTTTTTTTTTGAGAACACTTTTATTATTAATTGCTATCATGATTTGAAGAGAGTTTCAACCAGAATAACAAAAAAGTGTTAATGAAAAAAATAGCCTACCCCACCTTTAAATTGTGGGAAATTCAGTACTGTTAAATGCACAATCCATTCTATAGAAGCAGCAAATTTCTGCATTAGTCTTTCACTGTCAGATTCATCTGTTGCAATGTGACAGTGGCAGTTTTGGGCTATTTATAAGTCCATTGGATGCCTGATGAGTGTAAAAGAATTTCACTGCACAAGCCTTTGACTTCAACCTCTGTTAAACATATCATCTGGTTGTGTCTTTGGATAAAAGTATTTTCCTGTCTCTTTTCACTTTTGCAACTTGAACATTGAACAAATTGAATAAAACTTGAACATTTTCTGAAGAAGACTTGACTCAAAGTCCTCTTTGCATGAAGAAAGTCAAATGATTCATTTGATTCATTTAAATGCACAGACACCTCGCAACAGATTCTGCTGTGGTTTGCAGCTGTTTTTGATGAGACTAAAAAGAGACTGACAGTTTGTGTCTAAAATGTTATTACACGACGATATAGTTTCTTGTTTATTGAACTGTGTTGATTGGTCACCAGGATGTTGATATACGGTTGCTAAAGTGTTCTAAGTGGTTGTAAGCGTGTTTCTATACGTTCGCTAGGGTGTGTTATGGATGGTTTATATGTAGTTAAGAAACAAAGATTTGAAGCTTTAAACACACGCACATATATTTATTTATACAAATATAATATGTATAACAATTGCATATCACTTGGTATTTTTTTCACTGTATAATAAGATCAGCTTGTCTAGCCTCAAAAATGCAAGTCATTAATAAGAAAGTCTGTAAGTAAACATATAAAAGGGAAGAGAATACATTAAAATGAATTGATTGACAATCAAGGAACAAATCAACTTGGCTTGATTTTGTCTATTAGGATGACACGTTTACATGTTACCCACAGTCTGAGATTACTCAAAAACCAACCAACAAAGGAACTAATTTAAGTATCTACCAAAGTCTTACATCAGGAAAACCATCAAACCAAATTACAATAACACAGATACAATTTTACCTTTGATTACTGGTGGTCATCAACTACTTGCTGATTTACAGTTTTGCTTCTATATGACTTCAACTAACAGTACAACTACAGCGCTGCAATGGATAGACATTTTGCCATCTTTTGACGGCTTGAGTTAAGGGAAAGAAGTTGTGAAATAAAAATGCGATAACATTTTTTAGAAAATAAAACAAAACTCTTGCTTTTTAAATTGATTGTCAAAACAGGACAATGTTAAAATATTTCTAGTGAATGAGGTGGTCGGTTATGTGAAATTACCGAACACCACAAAACAATCTTTATCTAAGACAATAAACTTGAAAATAGAACTTTAACATAACAAAATACTGTTATAATTTACCTCCATTAGTAGATATCATGTATCTGTGTTTGACATTCTGTTTGTCTTCAAAGTAAATATTTTCATAATATGAACTATGTCTGAACTTAAATAGAATATTTCTGAATTAGAATTCATTTCAGGACTAGTGACATCACAACCATAAAACCGCATCAAAACTGTACAGCTGTTATGCATGCAGGACCTGTTAAAGGTCAAGTGTGTAATTTCCGCACCACTTGTGCCACAAAACAAAATTGTGAAAATAAGGACTACTTTCAAACAGGTTTCCAGAACACTCCCTTTATGCCATTGGTTTCCAAACATGAAGTCCATCCCCAAAATCACGCTATTGGTTGGATGCGCAAACAAATAGTGTATGCAGTGTTCTAATATACCAATGCAGTGTTTACACTTTTTACTTATGGTTAAATTTGTATATTATCGTGGGATCAGAGAGAGTATTTGCAAAAATTACACACTTTTCCTTTAAATATGCCCACCATACAATATGCCAAATTTCTCTAATAATCTCTGTCAATGGCACTGTGATACAGTGATATCATAAGAAAATTCTGTGCAAATGGTGTTTATGGTTTAGTCTGACTTATGTCACATGGTGCATAAGATACAGTTTTATATTAACTTTACCCTTGTAAGACGAATCTTCTACGCTTAAAGTTCACTTTTTACCCATACTTTGACAGTAGAATACGACAAAACAAATGTTATTGCTAAATCTACTTTCTTTACAAAATATTCCTTGCTACAATATGGTATAAAATACCTCAGTGTTATCCAATTACGGACTACTGACATAAAAACCGCTTTCTTTTCACAGAGACACCAGCACCAAAAGAATCCTTCGTTACTGTACAACGCTGTGGCAACAAAAACATAATGAAAATAAAAACAAATTGTTGAACGCTTTATCACATTATCACTAAACTACAATAGGGACTTTTTAAGAGGGTCACAACTTGCGATTGGTTCCAGACAACTGAAATAAGAACAAATAAGAATAAAACAATGTACTCAGTGCTAGCCTTTCTCTATGACATCATGCCACATTTTTCCAAGCACCAATTTGGAACACAGATCATGGAGTTTTCAACCTTTTTGAGTTGTAGGTAGTTGACTGAAAGAGGATAGTCTTCACTGGAGAACAGTAAGGTTCCTCTTCCGAGATCTCTCGGACCTCCTTACATCACGTCAGTGAGATTAAGTCTCACCCAATGTCCTCTACTTTTTCTTCTTTTGGAACAGCCTGTGAAAAACCAGAAGGACAAAAGCTGAGAGACAATTATGTTAATAGCTGAATATAAATTGGGCTTTTCAAATTATTTAGCTTTATACCAAAATCTAGTGCGCTAGGCTGTCTAGACAGTGTGTTTCTGACCTTTTTGGCCATTCCAAAATTTATATTATTTATGAGATGCCTTGTTTCGGGGGAAAGGTGGCATCGCATGCTTCCTTTGCAGACAAGTCATTTGTACATTATGAAAAGCCTTGAAAAAATTAACATTTTCTGATAAATTTCAATATTTATTTGTTGGCAGGTTACATAAAGTTCACATACTGTTAGGCATGTCTCATATTATTTTCCCATATGCTTTGTAGTTGTTTTTCAAAAATCTTTTCAGATATCAGCCCTCTCTATTGGAAATGAGCTTATTTTAGACTAGGTTCTCAACCCATGTAGCCTAACTCCACGGTCCCCCATTGTTAAAGTCAATACATGCAGAGCCCTGAAACCCCCGATAAGCTAAGATATGTCCTCTTGTACTGCTGAAATAACAAAAACACAATTTTCTTTTAGACATTAGACTTTTTTATTAACAGAAACAAAAGCCAAAAGTATACTTCCCTTGTCTGCAATTCGCTTTCCTAAGAGTAAAAAAATGAATTTGCCAATACAAGCCTTTTAGTAAATTGACAATTTTGGAGTTTGTTGTGTAAAAAAAAAATGTTAGAGAGCTCAGCAGTGCACGTAATGTTCCCAGATGTTTAATTCATATACACTCATCTAAAGGATTATTAGGAACACCATACTAATACTGTGTTTGACCCCCTTTCGCCTTCAGAACTGCCTTAATTCTACGTGGCATTGATTCAACAAGGTGCTGAAAGCATTCTTTAGAAATGTTGGCCCATATTGATAGGATAGCATCTTGCAGTTGATGGAGATTTGTGGGATGCACATCCAGGGCACGAAGCTCCCGTTCCACCACATCCCAAAGATGCTCTATTGGGTTGAGATCTGGTGACTGTGGGGTAGAGGTCTGCTACCCGACCCGAGCCCGACGGGTCCCGAAAAATGTGCGGGTTTCGGGTCGGGTTCGGGTTAATGTTAATGAACAGCCTCGGGTTCGGGTTTAACTAAGAAAAACGAAATAGGCTATATATAGTTTGCGTGCCGTGTGCTTTGCCTGCTTGCTGTGTTGTGGTGACCGGCACGCGCGAGAGAGAAAGTATAGGCTACGTCCGCAGATGTGCAATATGTGCATACAGGCTCTCTCTCTCAAATATAATGATATATGAATATAATATTTTTAATTATTTGTTTTATTTTATCATATCATTTATATCACAAAACTGTTTTGCGCATGTGCTACCGCTCTCGCGCGCTATTTCAGTCACAATACAAACAGCCGACGACAACAAGCAAACCATGAGTCTGATAAAGCAAAAAATTACTTGGTAAGTTTTTTCTCTTACTGCTGTGCTGCCTGCTGATAGGGCCGCTGCGCCTACATGTATTTGTTTAATATGTCAAGCAATCATTAAATACAACATAGCATATTGCAAAAATGGTATTGCTGTGAGAAACAGAATGGACCTCGGGTTCGGGTCGGGTTCGGGCTTAATATGTAAATGTAATTGTCGGGTCGGGTCGGGTCGGGTTAAATGATCGCGGGTACGGGCCGGGTTCGGGCTTCAGTTTAAAGCCCGTGCAGACCTCTACTGTGGGGGCCATTTTAGTACAGTGAACTCATTGTCATGTTCAAGAAACCAATTTGAAATGATTCGAGCTTTGTGACATGGTACATTATCCTGCTGGAAGTAGCCATCAGAGGATGGGTACATGGTGGCCATAAAGGGATGGACATGGTCAGAAACAATGCTCAGGTAGGCCGTGGCATTTAAACGATGCCCAATTGGCACTAAGGGGCCTAAAGTGTGCCAAGAAAACATCCCCCACACCATTACACCACCACCACCACCAGCCTGCACAGTGGTAACAAGGCATGATGGATCCATGTTCTCATTCTGTTTACGCCAAATTCTGACTCTACCATCTGAATGTCTCAACAGAAATCGAGACTCATCAGACCAGGCAACATTTTTCCAGTCTTCAACTGTCCAATGTTGGTGAGCTCTTGCAAATTGTAGCCTCTTTTTCCTATTTGTAGTGGAGATGAGTGGTACCCGGTGGGGTCTTCTGCTGTTGTAGCCCATCCGCCTCAAGGTTGTGCGTGTTGTGGCTTCTCAAATGCTTTGCTGCATACCTCAGTTGTAACGAGTGGTTATTTCAGTCAAAGTTGCTCTTCTATCAGCTTGAATCAGTCGGCCCATTCTCCTCTGACCTCTAGCATCAACAAGGCATTTTCGCCCACAGGACTGCCGCTCACTGGATGTTTTTCCCTTTTCACACCATTCTTTGTAAACCCTAGAAATGGTTGTGCGTGAAAATCCCAGTAACTGAGCAGATTGTGAAATACTCAGACTGGCCCGTCTGGCACCAACAACCATGCTACGCTCAAAATGGGCTCTATGCATGGCGGTATTTCCGGTGAAGGTCTAAGGATGCTGGATTACTTCCGCCGATCTTAGAGTCCAATGCTATACCGAGAATTTATATTGGTTTTTATACTCTATGGGTATACTAAAGAAACGTTAGTCACAAAAACAGACACCCCTCATTTTGTTTATGCTTCTTTGTTTATTATATTAAATAAACATAACTATATATAAAATTACATCTAAACGTATTAAAGTTTCGTTTCAAAGACGGGAGGACAGTAAATTTTGAAGACTCTGCCATAATCCCGTTTTCCTCGGTTTTCCTCCGCTTTAAATCTCCCCAACCGGAAACTGAAGAGCAGCCTTGCGTCAAATGCGGAACTTATGCGTGCATATAGCCTATTGCTTAAATCACCTTTCTTTCCCATTCTGACATTCAGTTTGGAGTTCAGGAGATTGTCTTGACCAGGACCACACCCCTAAATGCATTGAAGCAACTGCCATGTGATTGGTTGATTAGATAATTGCATTAATGAGAAATTGAACAGGTGTTCCTAATAATCCTTTAGGTGAGTGTATATATGATTTAGCATTTCATTGTTAAATGATTTATAACTGATAAATTCTAGATATTTTGTGCCTCCCCCTTGAATCCCCCGATCTATAATAGATCTTGAACTGATCTGATTTGTTTTTCAGATATGTGTGTGTGTGTGTGTGTGTGTGTGTGAAGTGGTTTAGTGTTGGCAGAGTGCTCTCTGGTGACTGTGGCTTTTCTGTTTGGTCCAAATGCCAGTCTTGATAGGGGATGATCTGGGGCTCAGCTCTCTCACCATGATCCTCTTGCCCAGACATAATGTCCCAAAAATACTCAGCAGCTCACAAGCACATATGATTTTATAGCCAAGGATTTATCCACAAGCAAGAGATGCACAAGGAATTCCATTAGGCCTCTAGTGATAAGTGTACAGAGGCCAGTGCCTCTGTGAGAAGTGTATCCACACGGACATGCTTTTGAGTCGGCACTGCTTATAGCTTCATTTTAGGCTTGGGTGGTTTGTAAGGCGAGGTTACAATGCTGCCAACTATACTGCTGCTTAGAGCTAACTATGGTGTGAGGAGGCAATGAGGCAAGAGATGGGCCCGAGTATCATTAATACAATGAGATGTGCTTTGGTTTGTCTGGAAAAGACTGACTAATAGAATTCTCTCCTATTGTATTGCATTTGCAAAGATGAAAGACGTCTCGAGATAATAAGAGTGCTGTTATTTCAGAACAGTGATATTGGAAGTGATAAAGGATGACATACTTTCTCTTTTCAATATAGGAGGGAGGCGCTGTTTCAGAAGTTAATATGTGATGTAAAGGTACTTGTAAATTATTCTGACAATGACATATCAATTAGCACCAAATAGTTTTTTTTAAATAATTTTTTATAAGCCTGTATTTTATAAGTATTTTATAAGCCTGTATGTGTGTGTGTGTGTGTGTGTATATATATATATATATATATATAAAGTTGCAATTGAAATTATTCAACCCCCATTGCAAATGTACAGACTTTCAGCTGTTTGCAATGAACAAATCAAACAAAAGTAATTGAAATAGCTCAACACAACAAATGTTTCAAGTGGTTTCCCAAAATTTTACTGAAAATGTAACTTTTAATGACTTCTGCAGTTTAAAAATGATTCAACCCCCTGAATAGAATCCTCACAACAGCACAAATCTGCAAAACAGGTGTTGTCTCACTAATCAAGGGCTTCATTAGTTGCACCAAGTGTGCTTGAGCTAGAACACATGAAATATCTGAACTGGCTAGTAGGGCTGCACAATTAATCGAATTTCTAATCGCGATCACGATTATGGATGCCACGATTACGTAATCGTCCAAAGCCGCGATTACAAAAAAAAAAAAAAAATCTGCGTGCTTAAGAGGCGTGTTTAGATCATGTCACGTTGTGACAGACAGGCAAATCAACACTTTTAATAATAGTCTGTAGGCGTGTCCTTATCAACGATCTGACTGTCCACTGTCACGTCTGTATCTCGTGTAATGTTTATTTCATGAACATGTCTGCTGATAAAGAAACATCTGATTCCGATAACGTGCAAAGTGTTGCTCAGAATCCACCATTTGAACCGAAAAGAAAAGCTACATCAGTGGTCTGGAATTATTTCGAATTCACTAGAGATGACGTCGAGCAGCGTGTTATACTGTGTAAGTTGTGTCGAACAACTGTTTCTGCTCCATCAAGCAACACCACAAATTTATTCAACCATTTAAAATTCAACCACAGAGTGCAATATGAGTGTGTCAGCATAAAAAAAAAAAAGCACCAAGTGATGCGAGAACTGCAACACGGACACCCATCACGAAATCGTTGTTTTGTGCTTCTCCGTACCCGGCAGGTTCCCAAAAGCAGATCGAGGTAACTGAAGCGATTGCGCATTTTATTGCAAAAGACATGGTACCGATTAATACAGTTTGCAGCGCGGGGTTGATGTTGATGAACAACTTGATGTTGTTCATTCCTGAAAACTCGAAGTATTTTTATGGCTTGTGTTCTAGGCCAAAATACTTGATAAGGCAATCTCATTTTTTTTTCTTCTACAGGTTATCTTGAGTTTTTCCATTGTTTTAATTTTAGTTTTAGTATAACAATTATACCATGCATACTATTGCATATTTGTACTTTTTTTATTTAAAGAAACCAAACCAATGTATCGTTTACCTTTGTGGCAATGAGAAAATCAATAAGTTTTTCAGGAAGAGTATTTTCAGCTTGTTTTTTTTATTTTTATATAAAAATATGGCATGAAGTTGCTTTAAACATGGTATGAAGCCATTTAAAACATCAGTCAATGTAAATTATGATAATCGTAATTAATAATCGCAATTACAATTTCAAAGGAATAATCGACAATTATGATTTTTGTCACAATCGTGCAGCCCTACTGGCTAGGTTTCTTAAGTGTCACGTTTGACTGCAAGTTAGAAATATGGCTAAGTCAAAAGAATGGGCCAAAAAGTTAAGAGAAGGTATCATCGCCTTTCACAAACTAGGAACATGATACAAAAAGATAGCAAAGGCTCTAAATGTTCCTAGAGACACAGTTGGAAGCATACTTTGCAAGTTCGAAAGTTTAGAAATATACTTTTTTTAATTTAGTAGAAAGAAGTTTCTTATGCTCATCAAGCTTGTTGGCCAACCGTGCTGAAACGTACTGGTAGAACGCATTTGCTTTTTATTCACAGTGGAAAATTCACATGGAATGGAACGGTTAAGCAACGACAACGGTTTGGCCCGATGGTGGAAGAGCGGCTATTGTTGGCTCAAGAATAGTTCAATAAAAAAATTCTGTCATCATTTACCCCCCGTCATGTTGCTCCAAACCTGATGACTTTCTTCTGGCCACACTGGACCCCATTGACCCCATTGTATGTGACTTAAAAGTACTACTGAGACTTTTTTTTAGTATATCTTCTTTTGTGTTCAACAGAAGAAAGAAAGTAATACACATTTGGAATGATATGAGGTTGAGTAGTCTAAATGATGTCAATTTTAATTTTTGTGTGAACTATCCCTTTAACTTAAAGCATTACTAAAACAAATGTTCCATCAGTGAGATTTACAGACTTAAAAGGCCCCTTAAGGTGCAGTAATAAAAAACGATTGATTTCTCATCTAAATAGTTCTTAATTTTCCCTTGAAAGTCCCTTAAGTGTGATCCTTCAATGTCTGGACAACTGCCTGATAAGCGAATCCTTTTTATTGAGCTCAATCTGTGATGTCATCAGCACTCCTCGCCAGCTTCTTCAACTGATTCATTATCTCACATCATGACATAACAGCTGAGTTTCAGACACAATAGCTGTCTGTTTTCAGAACAACGTTCCACTGGTGACAGGCAGCATGCAGTACCAGATCTCCCACAGGCCTCAAGGGTTGGTGGGGCAGCTACCTCTCTGTGTGCCACCCTGTTGAGGTCCTGTTACCCTTAAAGCAATGAAAAGCCTCACCTACGACATGTGGTTCTGCTGGGCGGCCAGGTTTTGCTGCTGCTGTTGCTGCATGAGCAGCTGCTGCTGCTGGCGTCTGCGGGCGGTACGGAGCTTCTCGAACCTCGCCTCCATCTCCTCCAGGACTTTAGGGGTGTAACGCACCACCAGTTTGACACTGTCCTTGGCTGCTTTCAGTAACTCCACAGCCTTCTCGTGGTGTTCACCCTCGACGCTCTGAGGAAAATAATTCAGTAGTCAGTTTTTCTGAGCAAACTGTTGTTCATTTCATCTAAATCAAAGGAACGAATTGCAAACGCTTCGTCTCTCTTTGCGCGTCCAATGGTTTGTTGATGGCTCCTGGAACTTTATTATATCCAAACTCATAGTTTTTTGTCAGCTCAAAACTGCACTAGAAAATACTCCACGGTGATGAACATTCAATTACATTTTGGCACAAAAGAGCCATTAATTTCCTATTAGCTCAGGAACCGTAACATGTTTGGTTTAATGAGAAATTACTTCCCAAATGCTGTCCCAAAATGCCTTCCTTTACAGTCTTTGACGCAAATGAAATCAAATGGATCCTCTGTCATCTTCGAGCGAGTAAGCACAAGCAGTGGACATTAGTTTCTATAAACTCAAATTACTCCTTCATGTAATAAAATTGTAACAATCTGGAATGTCTGCAGAGAAGAGCAAAGAAACTGGCTTCAAAAGGCTTCCCTTCAGCAGACAGCTTTTTTACTGAAAGACTCATTCGGATTTATTCAAAGATTCATTCTCATCTGGCTTCAGTGACAGTCTGACACATCTTAAAATTTACAGCGATTTATGAAAAGATTAAGTCTTTTGAAATCTGTCCTTTTCAGTTTTACATACACTCCTGCTGTAAGCTTTCTGTCTTATTTGTCCACATTTAGCATTTTAAAATGTCAAGCTTAGCATTAGTAGAATGAAAGATTAGAAAATTTCAGTCTCTAATGGGTCTGAGATAATAACAGGTGCAAAAATTGATTTATTACCATATTATACCATGGTGGGATCAGCCTTTTAGACTGTTAGAAATTCACTGAGATCAATGTAAAAAACTTTCTGCTGTAAACTTCACTTCAGCCCAAACTGATCTGTATAAATTATAAAGCCCTCCAGCATGATGGCATCGTATTTGACAGCTCTACACAGCTATAAAAAAAAACATCTCAGAAGAAAATGTAAATCGTTTTTTTTGCACAAACAATTAAGTTGTTTTCCCTACTTTACCTGTAAAAAAACCCTCCTACATTTTGTGAAATGCTTCCTTTGTGCATTTAAGGATAATTGATCTAAACGCTGACAGGTCATTCTTACTATGCAGTAACGTTTCATGTCCCCATCATGCATGTCTAAATCCATTGGATAAAATATAGAAAACTCATTAAGTAAACAGAGAAGTGAATTTTAAATAGTTTTACAACTTAAGTTTAAGGATATGTTCCCATTTTTTGTAATTTTCCCATATTCTAACTAGATTTTTTTATAGGGTTTCACTTTCCATCCTGCATTTTAATAATATCAATTCAACTAACAAAGTGATGACATCATCCTCAATGAAGTGAAATTCGTTTCAATGTGAAAACAGCGCATGCTACAGTATTAGCACTGATAAATTCTGAGATGTTTCGTGGTATTAGCTGATTTGTCTTAAACTTTCCATCGTATTTTATACAAGAATAGAAATTATAATATAGTGATATAGATATATTAATAAAAAGTGGTTAAAATATCTACCTTTAATGTATTTTGAATTAATACCCTCATGTCTTTTGCTCTTTAATTCCATTTTGTTAGGTTCCATCCAATTATGGATACTGATCATTTTCTTGTCATTGTGTGAATAACCAAAACATAATTAGTAAAGTGCCTCAGCATTTAAAGTCTTGTATGTCTTTTTTTAAAATAGAAATAGGTATGTATGTCCTTAAATTACACACATGCATATTAATTTTACAGAGTTACAGAGTACAAAAGGTAACATCCCTGGCAACTCACCACTCCATTGACGGACAAGAGTTGGTCTCCTCTCTTAAGACCACCATGCCGCTCAGCCACGCCCCCAGGGATGATGCGTGAGATGTAGATCGGTGAGTTCTGCTCTTTTCCACCCATCACATTGAAGCCAAGCCCCTCGTCCGTCTTGGGCAGCTCCACCACCCTCGGGTGGGAATGACCCTCACTGGCTGCGAATGCCGCCACTGTTGCCTGGTGGGAACCAAAGAGTTCAAAAGTGTCAGTGAATGTGAAATGTGACTGAGAAATATAGATAGACCAATATATTACCAAGCCTGATTTACAAGATAATATGGCCATTTTGAGATTGTCAGATTCGTCAAGATATTTATTAGATATTTAAAACTTAATAGTAGCTATGTTTCCATCAACCTATTTTTATGTGCATTTTGGGATATCGCATAAAAAAATGGATGTAAATGCCAACATGCACATAAATTGTAAAAATGCACACAAAAAATTTAGTCAGATAAATTACGCGCTGGAAACACATTTACCGAATAAATTCCTCGATGCACATCAAAAAAGTCATGTGACTTTGCGTGATGAGACAGCAAAACTTGACTAATCAGAGGACCAATCTCGTTGCACAGCTTCTGAAAAGCTGTTTTGGTCATTCTGAAATGCCTGAGCGAAGTCTGTCGTCAAAGTGGTTTAGTATAATTCCCTTCCAGAACTGTCTTACACGACTGCATTCCCAAACAACAGGTATCCGCCTCAAAAAGCAAGATAACATGACTGTGTTTATTGCGTTTCGTCTGCGTGCTCTTAGGCGCAAGTAATTTATTATATACTAAAATTATATATGTGGCTTTTTCTACTTTTCTTAGAGATATTTAGTGCCAGTTTATCAAGAAGCTAAATTTTGTTCTCTTCAACACATTGGATGGAAACGGTGCTTCGTTCACAAATGTTTTAAGCGATATTACAAATGGATGGGAACATAGCTATTGATGCTCATTTCAACATGGATTGTTTTGTGATCAGTTGTACATTATACTGTATCTTATGTAGTCTAAACATTATATTGGCCAAAATATGCCAACCTGCTCTTCAGAAATGAGCACCAGTATCGTTCCTTTAAAAAAATAAAAAATAAGTTGATGTTGCTAAGAATAAGCAATCTCCTTTGGATTCAAGACTGCAATTCTAGTGTGTTATATGGCTCTTATACAAGATCTGTATAGCTGACTCAAGGGCGTAGGTTTAGGGGGGGACGCTAGGTACTAGTCCCAATCAATATTTTGAGGTGACAAATTTGTCCCCACCAATATTTAGCAAGCTCCTTTGAACTGCTATTTTGATATTTGCGCTGCATTTGGATCTTTGCGCTGCTATTTGGATCGATTCCAACGGCCAGGACGACTACAGAACAAGATACGCCGTAATTTGATTGGCGGCGGGGTATCTGATAGGCAGGCTACACGCGCGGGCCGGGACTACTTTTTGTGCTTGCACTCACTGGCAGCGAGCGGGTGGTGTGTGCGTGTGTGTGTGTGTGTGTGCGCGCGTGACGACGCCGACGGTAAGTTACCAGGGCTGTCTCTCTGCCTGCCATATACAAAGGCCAGAGTAAAACATTTTAATATTCCGGTTTTTTTGCCCTTTTTGTACTTTGTAGATCAGCTATGTCACCCAAGAAGAAGAAAGGGGACATACGAAGCTTTTTTATTAAGCAGAGTGTAAGTAGGCAAAAATAACTAGCCACACAAATAACTAGCAGTAGTAGTGACTGACCAGGCTTTCAAATGCAGATTCTACTGGAAAATAGTATTAACTGGTGATCCTGGTTACCCAGGATATTGTTACAGTTAAACCTAGCTTCTGCAATCTTTCACGGTTAGGAGCATTAATTAGGGGTGTGCAGCACGGATAGACTCATAGAAGTCGCACTATCATGATAGACGTTAGCAAGTCACTGAATGTTAATTAGCCTACCTTAACTTAGAATCTTGCAGTCATAAACAGTGGATCATCTGAGACATTTTTCGTTTCTACATTCTGTTTATGTAATGTATTTGTAGTGTAGCCTACTTGCTAGACACATGTGCTGGAAAAACATGTTGGCAATGTTAAAAAGGCAAAAGTTAACACTGTTGGTTATTCAAATATAATGAATCATTATTTGATTGATAATATCCAAATAACAATATCTGGTAGGAGGGTTAAACTTGCTAGCCATAGGATAGACAACGGAATTAATTAACCATTTTGTATGCAGGAAAGACAGCATCAAACCACAACAGATTTACATTTATTCATTTAGCAGACACTTTTTATCCAAAGCGACTTACAATTGAGAACAATAGAAGCAGTAAACCTAGGACAATATGCAAGCTTTATGACCCTTCCCAGTTTAATCTAATGCACTTTTTTTTTTTTAGAATAGAATAGAATATATCAATAGAATTTGATATAGAATAGAAGGGTCAGGATACAATATAATGAGATGAAGTAGATTCACTTCTGTATTGTGATATTCTGTATTGCCAGCAGTCTGAAATGACGAAGGAAATCGCCATTAAAGCACTGTTACTTATCTTACAACAAAATAATTCCCGCCGGCGGGGGTTGTCCCCACCAAAGCTGAGACCAAACCTACGCCCATGATGAGACCCCTTTTAAAATACTTTAAGGTGGATTGATATTCAAGGACCAGTAACCTCTAAACCCAATATTCTCACCAAACTTCCGATACTACATTCTTAAAAGCCAAATTAAACATCTCCACATTGGCTTTACAAAGACCTTTAGATTGACTCTCTTAGACTGTGGTCGAGTCCAAGTCTAGCCTTTGTGGAAGCTGATATAGCAGCAAAGGGAAAGTGTCCGGATGTCTACACACTTCTGATCATGTAGTGCATCTCTGAAACTTTTTTTCACAGCTTGTAAGAATAGCTCAACATGTTATTTTTGTGCTGTGAATTCAGCAGTAAGATAAAGTGCATCCTATAACCTGCACAGGTGCCTGCACTGTAATCTGAATTCATAAGAACACCAGGATACTGAGAATGTAAAGGAAGACAAAAGTACTTCCCGCTGAGCCACACTGTATCTAAAGGTGCAGCACTGTGGGGCCTTGCTCATTATTAAGGCATTCATACACAGGGAACTGTGAGAAAAAACACCAAGGATTTTCAGAGACTTCAAGGCGCCAGATTCCCAAATGGCAAACCAAGCCGTTTTCTGTTCTCTGAAACTGAAAGAACAGCACCTTCCCTGTCTCGTGTGTTTCGTGTCAGGCAAAAAAAAAGAAAAAAAAAGAAGCTGTTTGAAAATGCTCTGCATGCAAGACACCCTTTTCCCAGTTCCTCGACCTTCACAGCTTCATCCTCTCTGAGGGAAAAAGACACAAGTCGATATATAACAAACGTCTTCAAAGCCTAGACTCTTTCATTTGCTTTGTCGAAATGTAAATCATTCGGTTGCCGGTTTAAAAGAAGATTCTTTTTTACACACTCAAATTTGCTTGGTTTTATCTATTTATTTAAGTTTTGAAGAATCTTCATGCAACTCTAACCAATAGTTCATAGTTACAACAGCTATGTAACGTATTTACAAATATTCTGAGCAATGGCCCACTCAAGCCCATTGTAAGCCTTACAAATTACAGCTTAAATAATTACACACACTTGACAAATAATCTCCATTGGTAATGAATATTGGCTTTTAACATTTACATCATCAATGCACTTGGAATGCACTTGGCGTATGGATGAAAAAAAATGCATCCCGGAGTAGCCGACTGGAGCTCATTGACAATTGCTGCAGGGGATCCCAAAGGATAACTGGGGCTTTTAGAGCTGTTCTTCATCCTATTTATGTGCCATCGATTGAAATCTGCCCCAACGGCATGCAGACGCAAGCTGTTCACACATGCTAATTGCCCTTTCGCTAGTGATTCGAGTCCAATATGCTTTTCGAAACCTGTAGTAACTTTTCAAAGTGACCAAGTGAGGTGCTTTGAGGCACTCTAAGACTTTTGTAATTTACATCCTGCATTAGAACTTTAATTGATATGCTAATTCTGCTCATCTGGCGAGACCTGCTTGCTGAGCATACTAATTACAGTAAGTGCTGCTGTTTTCTGTATAAGTGCTATTGCTATAGTATAGCTCCATATTATTACAACAACACTCAAATGAGTCACGCTATCGGTTAAAGTTATTGCTTTTTTTTCATTATGTTTAAATCGAAAACCTAAATGTCACTGACAATAACTACAACAGCGTCTAAATGTTTGCAAGTGCCATTAAAAATGTATTATGACTCTAAATCAATGACAAGGAGATTAATTCATAGAAATTCTGAAAGTGTTTGCTGTGCATGAATTGCCAACCAATCAACAGATTAGTTACAGGAAAGTCATTTTAGATCATAAAAACATAATAGCAAAATATACTTGACCTCTGAAACGTGGCCTTCAGGATATGGACCTAATTAAATATTAAGATCATAAATTTGTTTTTTATTTTATTTTTCCCCTGAGGCTCATTTATAATGTTAGTCAAGGTTGTTTTCCACTTACTGTAAAAAAGTCAAGATTGGGTGATTCCCAGCGTGATTTTCGGTCGAATATGCTCAAAAAGCGAGTAGCCTAGATCAGCCTTTCTCAAACTTTTTTCAGTCGGGGCACCTTTCAAAAGTGCATAAAATCTCAAGGCACCCCAGTGTAAAATATAAATTAAAAACACTGCATAACCCAAATGTAAATGCAAATGTCCTGTTTATTTAGACAGAACAGTAATGAACAGAGCATAATACGAACTGTAAATAACAATAACAATAATAATAACAACTTTACAGGGCTATCACTTTTGTGAAAAAATCCTGATCGATTTTTGAGACATAAACGTTCATTGAATCGATTGTAAAATCGATTTTCCATGTCTAAAGACGTTTCCATTTTCAGCGCCAAATATAGGCAAATCCACGGACAACTAACAGGCATTAGCACGAGCGTAAAGAGTGCGCTTGAGACGCGCACAAGTCAGCAATATTTCTGATGATTTATTGGCATGAAGTTTCGTGCACAATGACAAACAGGAGTGCAAGATTCTCGAAAAACAATAAGCAGAGTGGACTGCCATAACATCAATGAAAAACATTACTGCAGGCTTCGACATGGCTGTGTTTACGATTAGAAATGTCAAACAAATTTCGCCTACGTAGGCGATTGTAGGCCGGATCTGTATCTGTATGCATGGGACTGTCTGAATACCGGCAGAATTCACATTTTTGTTGTAAAAAGAGACACGTTATGCAGAAGTATAGTATAGTTTGTATGTGTGTTTGTCAGAGCCTGCAGTTGCTGTGTGACGCGCGTTCGCGCGGTCGGTGTTGTTGCTATAACGCGGTGCTATGGGTTGCGTCACTTGCGTCAAGTTGTGTGTGTGTCTTGCTTCGGTCTTGTGAGACGGATTTCTATGGTTAATTTTATATATATATATTTATCTAAAATGAATTTACAATTTTATTAATACGTTCATATGTTTAAAAAGAAGAAGAATGTATTTATGTAAATTCAAATATATATATATATGTATTTTTAGCCTACGTAATTTTTTGGCGGCACCCCTGACAAAGTCAGGGGGCACCCCAGTGTGCCGCGGCACCCACTTTGAGAAAGGCTGGCCTAGATGATATCCTTAAGTGGGCTGGAACAAAGTATGACTGTAAAGCATCTGCCATTTTCTTAATGAAATTGTTCAATTAAGCAGTAACATCATCACTTTTAATCTTTAGTTACTCACTCTACAAATGTTATGCAGAGCCTCGTGTGCAGTCAGGAACAACACACTGTTTTATTATTATTGTTATGCTGCCCTTAAAAGCACCCGGAAAACTTGTACCTTGTACCTTTTATTACGACATGTCATGCTTTTAAAACTTAAACAGTAGTAAACAGAACAAAATAATTATATTGTAAAAAATAAACACAAATACATACATCTGAATTCAAAATGAAAATGATTCATTTCTATTACATGTATTTATGTATTTATACAAGATATCAAAACTAAATGTTTGTGAAATTCAAGTGATTAACTTCACACTTGTTGTCTATAAGTTGTTTTGTACATCACACCTATAAAATTATTGAATTACAGCATGTAAAATTAAAATAACTTTCCAAATCACATTATAATGCACTACAGACCTGCTTTCCACTCACTGATCTCTATATTATAGATAGATTGTCTATATTATAGACCAGTATTTCCTCAATGTTTCAAATTGACACGCCCCTTCCAACATCACAACTCGGCAACTCATCTAGAATTCCGAGCTTCTCAATTTTAAATACGACTTTTTCGGCCATTCATGTGCTCGGAACTTGTAATTACGATATTTACAACCCCACTTAAAGGGCACATTACTCTTAGTTATATACCTGGGCCCGTATTCATAAAGATTATAAGAATCCTTTCAGAAAACTCTTAATTTAGCTTAAAAACTTTTACGTAGGAGTCTTAGCTTAAGAGCGATTCGGGACCAATCTGAGAGCAACTCTGAGTATGGAAAAGACAAAAACGTTCATCTTAGTGAGGAGGCGGGGCTGACCCCGTTGCTATGTATGACACAATCTTTTGAAGACTGTGATTGGTTGGATTTTAACTATAGGGTCTATTCTAAGCCTTCACTTTGAAATTAATTGAAAATAATTTTTCCTATTTTACCGTTCACACACACACACACACACACACACACACACACACACACACACACACACACACACACACACACACACACACACACACACACACACACACACACACACACACACACACACACACACACCACACACACACACACACACACACACACACACACACACACACACACACACACACACACACACACACATTATATATGTGTATAAATCCTTTTTTTTATTCACCATGCTGTTCATTTCCTATAAGGTATTTGATTGGCTTAGAATGATAAAAATTGCTCCACTCTTTCCAATTACACTGATTGCTGTCTATTTAAGTGGTGGTTTTAATGTTGGTTTTAATGTAACAAACATGGAATCAAAACCAAGAAGGACGAGAAAGCCCGACTGGACAGAGGAACAGTGTTGACTGTTAGCCCAGATAGTGGATGAACACAAGGCCATCCTTAAAGAAAAATTCAATCTATAGCATCTTATTAACTCACTGTCATCTATTGTCTTCAACACATTTCTTCTCCCTCTTCGTCTTTCTGCCATTTTCTCCTCTGCTAAAGAAACTCTTAAGCCTCTTAAAAGTCCTCGTCCATACTCCTAACAATTTTGAACTTAAGACCTCTTTTAAGGGTTAAGATGCTTTCTGAATGACTTTTTTCTTTACTAGGATTTTCTCTTTAATTTTAAGAGTAAACGCCCACATTTTTAAGAATTTTCTTAGAATTTTGTCACTAGGAGCTACTCTTTGCATTAAGATTCTTTATGAATACGGGCCCTGGAATATAACTGGAATTAAAGCGTCTTCTCCTGGTATTATGAATAGTATCTATCCTACTTCCTCCTTATTAATTAACCGTGATTTGGTGGCATCCTTAATGAGTAAATGTAGGCGGTCATGTTCAACAATGGTCTTTTTGAACAAGGGAGGAAGTTTCATTTCTTCAACTGTCAGTCTCATAGTACATCAAATTGTTTCATTTGAATTGTGTAAAAGTAAAGATCAAGTAAAATTCGATTTCTCCTAATATGACCACTTTAAAATGCATTAATTAGTGTGTCTCTGTAGACGTTTTAAAATTTCAGATATTGAAATGCAAAGAACGCCCTCAATAACGAAGTCTTCTGTTTTTACTCAGATTTGCATAATTAATAGACTATTACTCTGAACGCAAGCCTAACTGGGATCAAAAAACAATTACAACAATACCCACAAGAGCGGCCTATTGAGCTATTCAAAATAGGTATCGCAGGGTACTGCTCAGCATCCTTTGTAGAATCCAAGCGTGCTTTGTGTTTTCTGTCTCGCTTGCCATTCATCGCTTGGCTCTTTGTGTCTAGTGTAACTGTGCACAAGTCTGCTGGTCTGTGTATCCATGCAGAGAGAGATGGTGGGCGGAACACTCTGGACGGCAGCGTGGCCTTTAACTGGCAGGGCTCTAGCATTTGGCCGATTGGTGTATATCCCTGTATGCGAAGTAGGGATGTGCATAAGTACATATTTTCATAATCATCCAGTTGGTGAGTTGCCTGAATGACTAGTCGACTATTCAGTTTTAAAGAGCCCTGTATAATTTGTCTCATTTCAGGTTCGACCAGTCAAGGTCAGGATTCTTTCATTCAACCATAGCAGGAATGGAACAGAACAGAAGTCTTAAGATCTATTTAAAGGTAAGTTTCTTGTCAATAGTCAATCTGAGACATCTGGCACTCCGCAGTGACTGAAAGATAGGGAAAAATTAAACACTGCTTAAAAAACTACCATGGGGATTGTGACCCATCCCTAAAGAAACCCAGTATTGTGGTGTGGCTGAAATTCTCCCACTAAAGATTCAGCAAGGCACTTCTGATCATCCAGTACTCAGCAAATCTACCCCCCCCCCCCCCCCCCCCCTTTTATGTTTCCTCTCTTTTTCACAAGATAGCACTCTTTACGCAGTATGAATCTGAATGAATGCTGTTTCAGTGACAGTGTCTGAAGAGCAACTAGCAAGTGTTTGCAAGCAGGTCTGGCTAATTGCTGATTGTTTATCAAATCAAGACAGTTTGCGGAGAAACATTTGAAAATGATCTTAGTTAATGGATTTCTTCTGGATGTCAGAAAAGGGATGTTATTGGTTTAGCAGATGTAATTATGCTGTATGCGTAATACAGAAACACAGGGTAGGTGATGTGGAAATAAATAAACTCAGACGTACCTTAGCTGTGGCACGTGCTTGATACTCCGGACATCCATTCACTGTTATCGTTTCATGCATATACTGATAGACCTATTAAAATAAACAGGGACAAAGAGACTTTTTAGTTTCAGTTCCTCTACAGTTATCAAAATTTACATACATAAAATATGGTTAAATAGCAATAAGGCATTCTGCAACGATACTTCTTATCATATTACTTCTTTGGATGCAGCCTACTGTCATGGCAAAGAAACAGTTTGAAAAGAATCTTGCTTAGCGAGTTAAAGTTAGTTAAACTGTCGATCTGTTTATAGATAACATCTACCTGAATGATAACATCTGGTTTGTGGTCACATTAGCAATCTTTTGTGAAATTCTGTGGGCAAAGTAGGTCCAATGTCAATAGTGTTGCATGAAGCACCACTATTTTAGAGGTAACTTCCAAACCAAGCAGCTTTAATTGGAAAATGTGGCAAATTTGCATGTTAACAAACTTGAATCCAGTGTGAAATTAGCATGGGTAAATTCTTCAAAGTGTCCTTAAAGCAAAATTCCCAATCGCATGGATTCCTATTGAGATGACTGCATTTCGCTGTATAAAGGTAAACGTGGCCGCACCGCAAGAGTGTATACAAGTATGTTTGACAGGACTGCATTCTTGCAATGCACTGGTTAAGCATTTTCTTGTGTTTATGTACTTGCGCTAATTTGTTTCTGAAATGTGAATAAAAAATTCAAGAAGGAGCACCTGTGGTTGCACTGTGGTGTTCAAATTCTACGGCAGCAATGAGAACTCAGTCTACATGACCAAAAATAGTTAGTTTGACATTTTGTCATGAATAATTTATTCTTCTTTCAGTTTCTGCAAACCTTTATCATGCTTTTATAGTTTGGTTTACAGAGCAAAGAGAGCTTAATCCAGTTCCATAGACTCTAATGTCTCATTTCTAAAGTGCACACTTGCACACATGCAACGGCTTCCATCACCGATTCTATATTTTCACAAACAGGTGCATGTACAGAGCCCTTATCTGCTTTCACACCACTCAGGGATGAGACTATTAGCTTGAGGTCCTTTGAGGATTTGAAGAACCTATGTTTATCTCATTAACCAGCGCTTCTGAAACGCAGCTGGTGCTACAGGAAGCTCTGTCTCCCTCTCTCCGTCTCTCCTAAATAACAAGTTTCTCTTTAATCTGTCCTCCAGCACATTGGGCAGAATCTTTAGCTGTTTTACTAACCTCCTACTGAGAGATTAGTGTGATAAAATACATTTACAGTAAAACGTCTCTTTCTATGCCTGTTACTCTGTGACTTTAAACCATTCACTCTAAACCTTCTCAACAGGCAGGAACTATCAGATAGCCTTTAGAAACGGCTTTAAAAGAAATGAAAGAGGTTGCTAAGTCTCTACAATTACAAAATTATATATTTCAGCACAGCATATTCTACAGTATATTGCACACCTTATAGATATTTGTCGCAGTTGTTTTTTTATGCATCTCACTTGCCGTCTTTATCAAAATACAGCATGTTTGGGAAGCCTCTTGAGGTTTTGCTCCAAGTGCAATAAAGTCTTGCCCTGTTAAAGTAATAGTTCACCCCCCCCCAAAAGTTCGGACAACATTAACTCACCCTCATGTCATTCTGAACCTGAGTGACTTTCTTCATCATGGACCAACCAACTGTTGCATATTATATAATCTAATAACATTTTTTATCTTAATCATCTATAGTTAGGCTACTTAATTTTTAGCTGCTTACTGTATGTTTAGTTCAATGACAATTAAGTGAAACTTCAATCAATTTACCTTTATTGACTGAACTTCAATAGATCTGTGAGGGATCAATGCAACCAGATGGAACAAATCAATAGATTAAAGACCTAAGTAAATCTTTCAGGGGCTATACGTGCGTGCATGTTTGTTCCCACGGGTGGAGGATTGTGTGTTATTTAATTGCATCTTGAAAATGCATGAATATATTTAAAGGTCAAGCTTTTTCAGCGTGCAATTCATATGCTGTATTGGGAACTATTTGTTAATCATAATTTTATTGGAAGACAATTTATTTGTGTTTGGTAATGTGACTTATAAGGCAGTCAGCAAGGGTAATAGGGCTCTATTTAACCACTGTTCTCAAATTCCCCTTTGGTGATAATTCCCTGCTTTCAGTAATATCAAGAAAATAATATAATAAAATGTTGATGATTTTCATTACCACATTATGGTAATGAGGATTTGTCAGAAAATGTACTTAATTGTCAATAAAATAATGTTACAATGAAAAAAACAGGTGTACATTTCTTTACACAAAATAGAATTTCCATATTTATTTGGGTTTTGAGGTGAAATGTGAGCTGCACATTCTTGTAAGATTTAGTGCCATTCTTCCAGTTTTCCTATGTATACCTACAATCGTGTCCTTGCTTCTCTGTCTTCCTGTCTCCCATGTCTCGAGGGATCACTCTGTTTCCTCTCAACTCACTGTGTTCGGTTGGCTTTTATCTGTTTTACCTCCAGTGAGATTGACACACACAGATGTGTATCACTCTGCTTTTTCACTACTCTGCCCAAATGAAAAACCCACCCACAGGCCGCAGTGAGGTACTTTGTGTAACCATGGTGCTCTGTCTATAAAGAGATATATGATTTCAGTTGTTCTCATTTGAAACCTTGTTCTCCCTCCTCTTTCTTAAATCTTCTCACACTGCTCAGAGTCAGTCAGGCAATTCAGTGAAGCCCGATTCACAGCAATGCTTCTCATTTGCAAACCATTCCACCAAGCACATAGAGGATATTCCACATAAACACACACAATTAATAAAGAGAGAGACTGACATCTCTGACCCTGTAGCAGCGGTGTAGGCAATGATGGACTAAGCTCTCAGTTGATAATGGCCCTGTTGTCATATTCCTCTGAGAGTTGCATTTGAAAACATACATGTTTGTTGTGGTGATGCTCTGACGACTGGACTGTGGGAAATGATTTTCACAACATAAAAGCGTTCCATCATTTCTGAAAGAGATCATCGTAGGCCAGTCCATTTGTTTTTCTGACATTCAAAAAGTATGCAGTATAATGAGTAGATCATATACTACTAGAAATCAGGACAAAATCTAAAATTAGACTTCTTTTGTAAATGCTTTACTGTAAACAACATTTTTGAGTGTAAAATATTTTACTGACAATCAGCAGCATACTGTAGATCCTGTCTGTGTAAAGCTAAACTTGTACTCAATATGCAAAATTTCTTCTTTTTTTTTTGGAGGAGACATGAGAGATGAAGAATAAGTGATTTTGAGTGGGTATGTTCTGGCCACTGTTGTCCTTGTTTTGGCAATAATTTCACATGGCTAAGTGAGGTTGATGACTCATCTGAATAGGCCAGAGGTAGACCTCTTGTCATGAAGCACCATAGTTTCTGATAGTCTTGATCTTGGAGTTTGTGGCATTTTTCCTTCTTTAGATGTTATTGGTTTAGATGTCATTTTCACGGCACATTTTGTCATATTGACATTGTCCCTGCAATGCAGAGCTTTGCTGCCGGCACTGTAAATTGAGTCAACGCTGTGTCCTTTCACACCCTCGTTATGGGAATGTAAGAGACAGATTGCACCATATGATACCTTGCACAATTGCCGGGCCATGAAATGAGCTCATAGGGCATCCATGCACAGCTTGGTGAAACTTGGCCTGATGGATCCTGGGAGTGTGAATTGATGTCCTACCAAAAGTATTATTACATTAATGGACCGTTCTTTTTGATTGATGAGAAACTTTGCTAGAAAATGATACAGTACTTAACAATTCATCTGTTGTGTCATCTGATGTGTAGCAACCTATAAACTGAATCTCATATCCAATCTGAAGCATGTCTCTACAGATGTTCCAATCCCGGTTTTGGCACATTTCCTCATGCATAGTTATAGCCACATTAATCTCAGCCACAGACTGTATACCAGCAAACCGTTTATGGACCATCTGATCCATATTACCCACAAAAATGGCAAGAGCTTTCTCAAAATCACAAGCTCCAATCTGGTTTCACAGTTTTTTCTTCTTCACGGTCCAGTGTTTTTCACAAGGTATCAGACTTCGCACTTCTTCGCACTTCGCACGAGGCAGAAAAAGGAACACCAACGTGGAGACAGTAGTGGGTAGAGCCAGGACGGAGACGGGAATAGCCAGATGATGACCCCGAGTCAAGCCAGGATGAAGGCCCACGGTGGAACCGATGAAGGAGCCAAGATGGAACCAGGAGCCCGACTGAGTGAGGTGGAGACGTGCAAAGTGGAGACCCAGGAGGAGCCGAGGAGACGGAGACCCAGGGTGACTGTGAAGGCCTGGAGGACCAAGGTGGAGACATGGGCTTGGCAGACCGGGCCGGAGTCGGTCGAGGCACAGCTGGAGACTCTGAAGTCCGAGGCACAGCCAGAGCGACGATTGACCAAGGTGGAGCCAGAGGGATGAGGGAGCCCGAGAGGTGGGGCCTGAGGGATGGCAGTCCAAGATGGAGTCTGGGGCTCGGAGGCTTGAGGTGGAGCTGAGGGATCCACAGACCAAGGCAGAGCTGACGACTGGGAAGCCTAGTGCGGATCCGAAGAGCAGGGCGAACTACCGGAGGAGCCAAGGGGGTGAAGGAAGACAGTAGAGGCAAGGCTGAGGAAATAAATGGTTTATGCAGAGGAGGAGGGAGAGAGAGGCTGGGACCATTTTCGACAAAGGAGACTTGAAGCTAAGCAGAGTCAATGGCAACGACGAAGACTTGGAGCTGGGCAGAGCCAATGATGATGAAAGCAACTTGGAGCTGTTATGTTTCAATAGCAACAAAGATGACTTGGGACTGGGCAGAACCAGCAGAGATGAAGACTGAGGGGGCTGAGGGGGACTTGGGACTAGACAGGACTAGCGAAGACTGTAGAAGTTGAAACATTATATCATCCAGCTCATCCAATATTAATTCAGTGGGAACCCAGCTAATTTCATGCACCTCAGCGACGAGAGTGTGGGAGGGGCTCCAATTTATGCCGACGAACTCCACTAATATGGCCTCCGGCTCACACGCTTTTGCCGGCTCACACACCTGTTCAGACTCCTTAGTGGGCTCTGGCTCTAGGACAAACGTCATTCTGGCTGAATCTTCGTGGTGGGCCTCTGAGTCTACGGTGGCCTCTGGCTTAAAGTCTGTGTGGGGCTTGGCTGAAGGCTGGCTGGGTTCTGGGTCCAGAGTAGCTGGCAATGTGGGGCTGGCATGAGGCAGACGATGAAGGGGAACTTACACCTAACCAGTACCCACTCCACATATTCTCATTGGGATTGTGGGTGACATACAAGATTTAGGATGTCCCTCGTGTGATCCTTGAGGGAGCGACCCCCAAGCTCGAGCAGGTACCTCAGGTAAGTTCATAATTAACCTTTTTTTTCTGGGGTCTATATCCTTTCTTGGGTTCAGTGTTCTGTCAAGGGGCAGTGTAGTTTATAATCCAAAACAGACATGCGTGACACAGAATGACAGATAAAGAGAATTTAAAATACACTAGGAACAATCAACAACTTTACACATAAAGGTTGATGACACCGAGCCATGAACTGAGGGATTGTAGGATTGTAATCAACAGAACAAGGAACAGGTGCAAAACTAATTAGACACCATTGTAAAAGACGAGAACTCAGGCAAAGACAATGACAATGGAACTAAACAGAACAAGATAATGAAACTAAACAAGACATGAACGTGACACTATAAGAGTTGGGAATACCACACCACAGCTATAATGATCATGACACAGAGGAACGATATTGTTGGAATAAAAAGGATTTTTTTTTTGTTGATAATGAAAAATAAAATTGACAGCCAATCAAAATCCACATGACTTTAAAGAGCTTGAGGATTGTAGGTTTGGATTTAAAACAGCAGATGACATAACTGCAGTGTGTGCTTATAATAAATAGAACAATATTGTCCCTTAGTGTCGACGCTAATATAGTTATTATTGTTAACTTTATTGTTATTTTTGTGAACGAGCCAGTGCTAAAATAAAAATGCAAAATGCACTTCCATAGCCAGTAAGTATTGACATATTTTCTCAATTCACTTGACATTGACATTAGTGGTAAAAAGTTAATAATTGATGTCTAAATATTTGTTTTGTGAGTATTTTTCCCCACTGTTTTTCCATATAGCTTGGCACGACCCTCCCATACTGTTTCAAAATAAACAAGCACAAGATTATACATACTCTGCCCACTACTGACAGAAAGCGCAGCTGTGGTGTCATACTAAAAGGCAGCATATAATCATCCTTGTAATAATTAATTAAATAAACAATCGAATTAGCACAATAGGCTTCTTTTCTCGCTCATGTGTTGTGCAGCGCACACACACACCCCTAAATGGGAAAAGGCAATTCCACCGGAGTAACACTGTTCATATGCTCAGGCAAAAGTACAAAAATGTGTCTGTCTGTGAGATTGGTTTTTAGTTGTTTGCTTGTGCGGTTCCAGTGTTTGAGCATTAATGGACAACGGAGATCTTAAAGTGGTTAGGATGTTGCCCTGGTGCTGCACTTCAAACCGCAGTGGCTCAGGTCAACCTCATTCTCTGAATAATTGCATTTCTGCAAGTTCACGGGAGAAGCAGAGTAAAACAGGCTCCAGTTGCCACTATCTCTGCCTGACAGACACCATCCTGTCATCGCACCCTCAACGCACATCTGTCACTAACGTCAACCTCGGATGATGCTGAGATTCCATCCCATAATTGATGATCCTCGGTATATATACCACAGCCTCTATCCATTTTCAGTTAATATTAGTTTATTAGTTTTAAATACTTCTATTTAGCTTTAACAATTTAACTTTTCAGTTTTTATTTTAATTCAGCTTTATTTCAATTAATAAAATAAATTTGTAATAGTTTTAGTGGTAATACTTTAGAATAAGTTCTCTTTTGTTAACATTAACAATGAGCAATATAGTTGTTACAGTATTTATTCATCTTTCTTAATGTTAGCCTGTTACCTTTACCAAAAAATTTTTATCAGGTTTTCAAAGGTTTGAGTCAGGTACTTTGTTTCGTTGTTGACTACTTAAATAGCCCTTTAAATAAAACACCATCAACCCCTACCCCATATACTGTACATCCAGAATACCAATTGCATGACTATGGACAAATTAGCAAATCCCCATAAAATCTTACTGATTGACATAAAATGTATATATATATATATATATATATATATATATATGGTGTTTTAATGGCTTTATATTATTATATTATACATATTCTGTTATCAAGGATATGTTTGGACAAGGAACAATTTGACACTCCCATGGATGGTCGGTCTCAGGATGCCTCACTGTTGGCACGACACAGTACTCATGCGTTCACCTTCTCTGCACCTTCTCAATCGATTTTCCAGATGTCCCAAACAGTCCGAAGGGTGCTTCATCAGAGAGAATAACTTTGCACCAGTCTTCTGGTGTCTAATTCTTGTACAGTACGTCCTGCAGAATTTCAGTCCATCTTTCGTTTTTCTTGGAGAGAAGTGGCTTCTTTGCTGCCCTTCTTAGGTTGTTTTACAAAAGTCTTGGCCTTACATGTGTGCAGATGCACTCGAAATCACCTGCTGCCAATACTGAGCAGCTCTTCACTGGTGGTGACACGATTCTGTAGCTGATTCCTCAGGAGGAGAAGGTCCTAAACCCCTCTCCTTGAAGTTCTTGATGATCTGGTAAATGGTTCTTTCAAATGCAGAATTCTTTGAAGCTATTTCCTTAAATGTGAGGCCATTTGGATGCAAAGATGATGGCTACACAGCTTTCTTTGGAGGTAACTATTCCTAACATAAGAACACAATGATTGGAAGCACTTCTTCTTTTAAAAGCAATCATGTGCTGATGATTTGATTAGTAAAAGGGCCAAAAACAGTGAACTTTGGGGTTTTGTGATAAAGTTTATTGGACTGTAAAGCTTTTTGCAAATATGTAAAATGCATCTGATCACTTTGCACAATAATCTAGAAAAATGTGAATCAACATAATAACACCTGAAGCAGCGACTTCAGTCAACACTAGTCTCATGCTCATCTGAGGAGGATGCCTCATAATCAGGGTCCTCCTCAACTTTATAATCTGTCTCAGACACATTCTCCTCTGTCACTGTCAAAGAACTGTGAAATATACACTGGAATATATCAATTTCATTTTTGGATGAACTGCCACTGGAATATAATTTTGAAAATATCTTAACTGTCACCCGTAGAATATTGCGCTAAACTCTGGAGATGACAGCAATGTTCAATGTAGGACTCACCTCTCTAATGGCCGTGCAGAACTCGCTCTGTAGAACCTTCTTCAGGGACTGCAGCTTGTGACCTGGGACGTCACCTGACTCCTGTAATTTTTCCAGCAGCTCAATTGCCCTGATGACATCTGAGATGGAAAGAGAGAAAGAAAACACAGATGTGTTTGAGTAACAGAGGGTCTGTGATTCCGAGAGAGAGAGAGAGAGAGAGAGAGAGAGAGAGAGGGTAAAGTTTGCAGTAAAGGGCAGAGAGATGGTGGAGCTGCAGCGAATCGATTGCAGGGATAATGGAAATAGACTCGCTGACGGCCAGAGGGGCCACAGAAAGCAATCAGTGCTCTCTTTACATGAAGCAAAAGACGCATCACTCTGCTGTGCCCCTGCTATTCAGCAGACCTACAGGGGACACATTCGCTGGGGTCAGTCACGGCTTGTTTCAACAAATACATATGGGTCTTTGGCACAGCTTTCACTGTCTGGGTAATCAAGCTACATCAATAAGTCATCCTCAACTATTCTCATTCATCTCAATGGCAGTTGCTCGATTGGCTAACCCGATCTCAACACAAAAACGTAATTATTTTACCAATCTGCACAGTTTGACTCGTTCAAAAAAAGGATATTTAGAAAAGAAGTATGAAGGTTTTCAACTATGAAAATACAGACCCATGAGAGAGATGCTTAGTGCTATAGTCATTTTGAAGTATAGTTGCTTTAGATGACTTTTATAATATGAAGAAAAACACTTCTTTAAATATCTTCTTTTGCATTCTGTATAGGAAATAATAGTGTGGCATTATGTTGAGTAAATGATGACAGAATTTTCATTTTTGGGTGAACCATCTCTTTAAAGCAAGCATGTACGTTTTTTACCTTGAAATATCAGTTTTAAAATCTTTATAATGGTACACTGACATCTAATAAAGGCGAATGGCTTCTGTTTGTTTCCCATGCAAATCCATAAAAAAAAAGGTCTGTTCTGGGAGTATGTAAGTTTGGTGGGCGGTTACACAGTTTTGCAAAAGGGTTGGATTGCTTTACGGCAGTCACACCATGGTTTGTCACAATACGTCACACCAACATAGCTTTAATGAAGGAGTATTATACTGTAAGAAAGGACATCATGGCAGAATCTAAGAGAACAAAGAGAATGTTGACATAATTATATTTTGCAATTGAACAAACTAATGCAGGACTACAAATTGTTTACACTGTCTTGAAGTTTGTTATAGTTTCTGTCAATCCTGTTATGCTTTTTGTTATGGTTGGAACATTGCTCACAAGATTAACATGGTTCTTCTTGGCTTTTGAAATCATTTAGCTTGCGAACAACAAATGCACCACCTGTCTACTAATTACTTCAGCGGTTTTTTTATGATAGTGAATTCCACTCACTTAACTCCAAAGTGACAAAAAAGTTGCTTTAAGCCAAGTAGCTAACCCTCCTTTAATAGGCTTGCATAAAACGGTGGCAACAGCAATATTTTAAAAGACATTCAGTATACTATTTAAAGGTTCTCTAAGCGATCCTGGGTGACGTCACTTCTTGTTGACGTTCGAACTATTGTCAAACAAAACGGAGGCTAGCTAGACCCTCCCTCCTCCTCATCCGCACACTAACCCCCCAAACCACACCCCCAAACCCTTCTTGTCGGTCATTGGCTGGAACAGTTTGTTATGTTTCGTGGTGCGGGTAAGCCCAGTTTGTTTTTGTTGCTGTTTGTGGAGCCTGGGGTGTCTGCAGAGACCGCGTTTTTTTACAGTGTGTTCAGGGGACAGGCAGCCAGCGGATAGTGAGGAGATGTTTGCTGTATGTGACAAAAAAAGTTTTGGCCTAAAAAACGCGTGACATCGCTTAGAGCACCCTTAACTATTTACTTAGAGGCAAGCTACATTTATTAGCAATTAGTAAAGGAACTTGGGTCAGTGGAGTAAGACGCTATTTATATAAAACTTGCCTTTGCATTTCAAAATACAAAACGCAGGGCAGTGGAATGAAAAAAAACCCGCAAGGTCATGAGACACAATTTTTAAAAGTTGACCTTATCTTACCTTGAGCGCCAAATTTTTAGAACATGATGCATGAGGCGTTGCAAAAAAAATGGAAGACGTGAACGCAACGGCCAAACAAGTATTTCTAGCGCATGCTTACATAGAAATACAATGGAAAAGCAGTGCAATGCAATGCAAAAACGTGTTTTTTTTTTCAAAACAACCCCCAATATGATGTAGTTACAGCACTACACACTCCAGACCAGGCTAACTGCTGAAGCTCAACGCCTTTCCACTGCACACGACATTTTGACACGACTTTCAAAATTCGCCCCCTAGAGGCAGTCAAAATGAACTTATTATCTTGCATGGCAACATGAGTAAGCCTAAACTGTCGCATTTTTCGGAAATCTTCCCCGTTAAGGTGCATCTCTTGCACTAAACGGTAACTGACTTGCAATATTTCTTTTTGCGTCTCCTGTAAAGTAATGTAAAAGCAAGAGCCTTTATCCTCCGAACTTTCACCCCGGTGGAACGAATAAATGAATGCAAACAATAAACAGCTATGCATATATAGGACAAATAACCGCCAATAATTTGACTGAAAATATGTTGCCAGACAACATTGACTAGCTGGTCTGACAGTAGCTTTTAGACTACCGTACCTGCATAGAAAAGCTTTCTCTTTGTATCTCTAAACTCATCCCCCTTTAAAACATCATTACTACAGGCATCAAAGCATCACCTTAGTAAAAAATCCACAGCCTTTGACAATAAATTAGATATAATTACTGGTAAATCAATTATAGATGGACTTTGAATGCTCCTGCTATTAAGTATAATCCGTTTTCAGGAGGACTATGATAAAATTGTATTTATGTGATGAATATCTGTCACTTACCCTGAAGGTCCTTGGTTTAAAAAAAAGTGTAGTTTTACAAATCGCTGAAGATCACGTTAAGGGTGGTTGAGCCTCTGGTCACATTTAGTGCTCAGTACGACTCGCGGTGATTTGTTTTTGTGTCAAGGCAAGCATGTGGCTAATTGTGCTCGTTCATCTTTGGACCGTGAAAAATTACACCCATTTTATGTAATGTGCAACTGTTTGGGGTGAAAAATGAGAAAAATCCTACTAAATTTTGTGTCACAAATTTACAAAAACGAGTGTCTTTCTGTCTCATACTAGCCTACATTAGATAATAACTTTGTCCAGACACAGACAGCAAAGCAAAGTAGGCCAGACCCCGACAGGAACTAATAAAACTGAACCCAGTGAGACTAGTAGAGCAGACACAAAAGCTATAATGGCCTGTGGGCTCATGGGACCACAACAGATGCAACAATCTGAGCAAAATCTCTTGCAGTCCGTTCTGTCAGTCAAATTGAGAGGAGACTTACGACCTTTTGTTCTAATCTTCAAACCCCAAATGGGCGGTACATTTTTCATGAATACCGGTATGTCACATTGTACTGAATTTGAAAGCTTTTCTGATAAAACGATAGATTCAAATTAAAGCTCTTCTGTTATTAAAGCAGCTTATTCTATCAAAAACTGACAGCTAGATCCATAACTGAGTAGTGTCCTGGCATGTCCCACTTGGCTCTGCCTCAGAAGAATGTCAGCATGACATTAATCACTCTGTTGCTACAACACGTCAGTAAAAATTGATGACTGATGCGTTTTGGTGTAAAATTGACATGAGGGCATAAACTGCGGTCTGTTGCATTAAAGAGTGTCGTTATTGTTAACTAAAACCAAAATGATTAAAATTGTTTTTGTTAATTGAAATTAAGCTGAAATAAAATGAAATATGAATATATGAAAACTTAAACTTATAAAACTTAAATGAAGATTAGAAATGTTGTCATGGGAACTAAATGAAATTAAAAAAGTTTAAGTTGACATACCGGTACTAGTAACTACTATTAACTAACAAAAAACTCTGATTAACAAATTAGTAAGTAATAGTGCTCAGTTGAATGTGTAGTTCACTATTAGCTAATCAATAACTATTTTTGTCATACCTTCCGAAGGACTGAACTACTAGTAATGTGAATAATTCATAATGTATAATTAATTATAAAGTGAAGTTCATGGTAATCCACATAAAAGCTATTTAAAACAACAATAAAACTAGTATATAATTAATATGAAAATAACATTATATTAATAACTATATTACAAGGTAGTTACCTAATTTTAGACTAATTTCTTAAAAATCTTCTCTCTTTTTTTTACATAAAAGCAGCAAAGCGAATGGAAATGAAATGCTTGAAAAATCTTCAAAAATGTGTTCCATGGACAAAATAAGGACATAAGGATGAGTAAATATGATTAATTTAATGGGCCACTCAAGCATAGTTGTGGTGTGGGAAATTTATGATTTGGAAATAATGAGGGGAAAAAACAACAGCCAGTGAATCTTTTGAAGGACAGTGGTGATGTTGTCACGAGAGCGGGAGTGAACCAGTTCTGGAGGTTATTTAGACTTTGAATGATGTTCCATAGAAAATGCTGTTGCAATAGTCAATTCCGGATGTAGTAAATGCATGAATCAAAGTTTCAGCAGCAGAGAGTGATAGACAAAGACTTCAATTTTGTGAAAACCAAAATATTCATAGCTCAGTCCATTTTTGTTTAAAAAATATATTATTTTAGGCCTATCCTACATTTCTAATAGATACACTAACGTTTGGGGTCAGAAGATTTTTCCTATAAAAAAAAAAACTTTTATTAAGCAATGATGCTTTAAATTGATCAGAAGTAACAGTAATGACTTTTACATTCATACATGATTTCTATTTCAAATAAATGCTGCTCTTTTGAAATTTTTATTAATCAAAGAATACTGAAAAAATGCAGACTGTTTTCAACATTGATAATAGTAAGAAATCCTACTTTTTAATATTACTATGATTTGCTCACGTGACACTGAAGAGTAACAGTGAAATTTCTGAAATTTCACAATATTACTGTTTTTTGTTAGCCTGGATGCCAGCCCGAACCCCACCCACAACATTTTTTGGTCGGGAAGTTCGGTCTGGACTCGATCCATTGAGGAGTAATTATGATCGGTTCAGAATTAGACGGGCCAATCAAATTGCCAGGGCGGGCTTTATACGATGATGGACAGAT